TGACTCGAAGTTGTTCTCGTGTTTTTATTTTAAAGCTATCTCTATATCTCCATAAAATACTCTGCAAAATGAGTAAATTGCAAACTTCCTGAATTTGTGGCATTGGTGTGATCATAATGTGTCCATTTCATATACCTGTGGCCTAGTTTGACTAATGTCAAATTAGTTCCAAGTTTTGTGCGTTAACAGAACTGAGTTAGTTGTAAGTGATGTTTCAGTGCATGGTTTTGGTAAATATGTTTTGCCTTTGCTGCTTTCTTCCCCTCTCCCCGGCCCCACACACACACTGCCAGTATTTTCAGCAGGTGTTGCCACACAAGTAGGGTGGGTGAGGAAAGAAAGAAACCAAGCAGGTTACAGTTTGTGAAGGAAGGCATGAACAGTGCAAGGTGTGATTGCTTTGGGGATTGCATATTCCTGGGTGTTAATCTACATGCTGTGCCTCAAGTGCAAACAGTGTTCTGAGTTCATGGGAGTAACGCATTATGAGCATGGCCATTGGAAGAGAAGCTCCTAAGTTTGCCTGACATGATGACAGACCATGCCAAAACTTTGAACCCTACTCTGGTTACTATCATACTGTGTGTGAATAGAGAGGCTTGCTTGTCCGTGTTCTCCTCTGTCTACGTGTCTTGCTTGTTACCTTTTGCTTCTGCTGGGCATTTTTAAATGAAAATTAGCCCTTGCCACTGTGAATTCTTGGACTTGTGAAAGAAGGGTAGCAGCAGCGGGGTACATACAACAGGTTTCTGAATGAAGGATGTGTTTTGGATTTGTCCTGCTGCATAGAGCCATGACTGCTAGCTATCCAAGAGTGAAGATCATAGATCTCAGCCCTTTAGAGTCCATCTGGAATTACTGATTTGAAGTCTTCTGAATCTGAGCCTAGTCCTCCAGTCTTGTTCCCTCCAACAGCTCTAACAGTTTAGTTTGAACTGTCAGAACACTGGTTTTTTTTCGAGTGGAGAAAATGGGTGATCAGATTGCGTGCAACAGTGTTTTTTGTGGGCCTACAGTTGTCCTGTGGTGTGAGCTGTATAGTGGTGAGGGATGGCTTTGAAATAACTCATGGGGAGTACAGTACTAAGCTCCCGAACTAACTTCACTGCCTTTATGCTGAATGCCAGAGCCTTGAGCCTTTTCTTCTGAATAGTGATCTGTGACCTATGTGTTCCCTCACAACTGCCTGGCTGACAGTTTTATTAGCTAGTAGTGAACCCGGGGCCCAGCTGTGTTCTTGGAGAGTTAGACTTAAAGCTCTGGAGACATTTCAAGTAAAACAAACCAACTAACCAAAAATGTTTCAGTATTGTCTTGGATTTTGTGCTTGTCTCTCATTACATATAAATTAAGAAAGGAACTCTCCATTTGATAAAGACTCAAGTGATTTTTCTGTCTTAATACACTTGTGTGTTTTTGTAATACAATATTGTGGGAATTAGATGATTTAAGTACTAAGCATAAAGTAAGTTTTAGACTGAGTGGCATAACTTAATTTGGATTTTGAACCATCTACTGTTAGAATAATAGCCTTCACTGAGACCTTAGTATCTTACTAGCTTGGGCAGAATTTCTGTTTGCCTATAGATCATTCCTCCCTCCTCTAGTTTTGTGCAGTTTACTTAATGCCTGCACTTTTTTTATTATGAAATTTGCTCTTAATTCAGACTAATTTTCAAAATCTTATGAAATAAAACCAAAACATTTTTTCCCTCCACTATAACCACTAGGGTCTGAAAAGAAGTACTTTGAATCCAGATAGTTTCTTTCCAGTAATCTGGTACAATTAGAATAAGATGTATTGAATTTATTAATTTTACTAGTGCTGCATACTGATATTTGTTAATCAGGGTTTAGTTCTGTACCATGACCTGTCAACTCCATTATTACATTGTACAATCAAATGTATGAAATTGGAAGTTCTCCTCCCACTTTTTTCCTAGTGTCTTGAGCTTGTTTTGTTTTTTAAAGTGCTTTGAAAGGCTGGTTTTGGGGAGGAGGGAAAAATATTTACCCTTGTGTATCACACTAGCTTGTAGCTGAACAGTTTTAAAAGTTTGATAATTGCTATTTATTTCAAATCAGTGAAAACTGTAGTGCAAATGAATATATTAAAACAAAGTATCACAGAATCACAGAATATGCTGAGTTGGAAGGGACGCGCAAAGATCATTGAGTCCAACTCCTGGCCCTGCACAGGACCATCCCCAAGAGTCACTCCATGTGCCTGAGAGTATTGTCCAAACACCTGTAGAACTCTGTCAGGCTTGGCACTGTGACCACTCCCCTGGGGAGCCTGTTCCAGTGCCCAACCACCCTCTGGGTGAAGAACCTCTTGCTAATATCTAACTTTCAAATTTTTTTTTTTTCCTAAGCATGGGAAAACAGTCTGTCTTCAGACTGGACAGCATACTCCCTTTGCACTTGACAAGGAGTTGAACTAGGGAACACTTCCAGTTGGAAGATGTATTATTGTTAATTATGTTCATCTATTTTACAAATAATTTCATCATCTGCTTGTAATACTTCCATGTGCTTCTATGTTTCAGTAAGGTTGTGACCATATGGTCCTAAATTGAAGTAGTCTCAGAAGTCTGACATATTGGTAGTGAATAGTGGCATATATTTGAAATTCTAAACTTTGCTTTCTTGATCTTAGTCTTGTTTTGTTAAATTCATTCATTTTTTCCCTAAGGCTTCAGTTTGACTGCAACTCTCCATTATTAGTATTTATTGATCCAATAGACATCATTTTAGTTTCAATTAGCTTTGATACAATAAACTTTAATGAGAAGCAGGTGTATACAGTATTAAAGTTCAGTTTGGAAAAAGCTAAAGGGTGTATGGAGGCAGTACATTCTAATGTAGTCTTAATCAGTTTGTAATTGTCTTTAAGATGCTCCTTTTTCTGCATTTGTTCATACAGTGATTTCCATATGTTACGGTTTTATAGTACTGATTTATAGAGAGGTTGACTGTGTACATTATGTACAAAGTTGAAGGCCAGATACAAAATTTGGACCCTGCCTTGTGTCATGAATGGGTGGTTAGGCTGCTTAAAGAATCACCATCAAAGGTACTGGCAAAACCCTCAGATTTTAATATGAGTTTGTGTGACTTTAGCAGAGTTCAATGGCAAGGTTCACTCTGTTACTCACTACGTAGATGAAGCATACATAGGAAATCTTACCCAGATTCTTTTGATACAAAGGGCTCATTTAAAATCTTCACACTTTACAGCTCTTCAGAATTCACACTGAGAGCATACATGTAAAATCCCTGAAAATCTTCTGTGATCTCTCACTATGGCTGAAGTTGAATTTGATGGTGAATTTAACTTGAAGTGTGTTTCATAGGAGGAAAAACATTGAGGTACTGAAAATCAGGCTGTAGGATTTCCTTGGTGGGACATCTGGAACAGCTGCAAAACAAGTAGGGGATGGTCTATGCACAAGACCAAGTCAGAATGCTACTCATTATCCCTTTGATGCAGGTGGAAGAGAAAATAAATAATAGTTTTGTGGAGGTACACTTATGTTTTTGTTAGTTCCGCTGATGGGCTACACTTCTAAGTCACAATTCCCACTTTTTCTGTAGATAGCCCTCGCTACTCCTGTCTCCGTTCTTGTGTCAGTACGTTGCTTTTCCTTCTGTGTGACTGTTGCTCACACCAACTTGTCCTCCTGTCCTCACTTCTGTCGGGGTCAGTACAGAACCTAAATGTATTAGAACTTCAGCTTCATGTCACATCTCACATCTAATGTTATTGTCTTATTAATAAGCATGCTTTCTTGAATTGGGTAGTGATACTATGGATGTCACCACAGAAAATTAAACAGAGAGTAGATGGCAAGATCAAGGTACAGAGAATGAAAGCTTTTGAAACAAAGAAGCTTTGTCTTTCAGGGTGGTTACTGTATGTGTAGGTTAACTGTACTGTTTTTTGATGGACAGCTTGTAACACTTTTTTTCAGAACTCAGGGTGTTAATTGTTAATGTATATTTGAGGGAGCTGAGTTAGATTAAAATATTTGGTAATTTAAAATATTTCCAAATAAATTTCCCATTTCTCAGATGCCTTGTCTAAAGGCAGGTGTTTTAAAATAGGGAGAAACTAAATAAGCAAATTGGCAGTGAGAAGTTGTTACAGAGGTTTTTAACAGATGAATGGGAAGACACAGGCAATAAAAGGCTTGGGGGTTTTTTGTAACTTCCCTTTTGGAACAGAACATTAAGAATGAAGAGATGCTGGAAGTTGGTGATAGGGCTAGAAAGGTGGTAAAGTATTTCTTAGCAATGGACTAGACTTTACTAGGACATCCGAAGTTTTAGTATTTTGAACAATTTGAGAGCATTTGACAAAGGAATACAGAATTGTTGCAATTCTCAAAATGGTTGGAATAACTAAAAATTGGCAGTTCAGAGGAAAGAGGAAGTGTAACTGTGCTGCCTGTATGTGGTGCTTGTAGTCTGTGTGAAGGAGGACACGCCATATCACTGTTTTTTATTTTAGCATTTGTATTCTAATAAGGAAGGCACTCTAAGATATAGAAGCAGTCTCAGTGTGTATCAGATTGAATCCAAGTGTTGTAGAGAATAAAGATGAAGTATTTAAGAATGTTGCTTACTTGCCTGTGGAGTAAGTAAGCACTGATGGTCAAGCAGGTGAACTGATGGCTCTGGCTAGGTAATTTTTGTTATAAATGTTGTCATTAAATGAGAAGTAAGAGGGACTCTGGTTTTGAGACTGAAGCAGTAAAGTCATGCAAAAGCCATTTCCAGCACCAGATAAAAACCAGGTACTAAATGAGCATTTTGTTACTAGGTTTATGGAGATGGGTTATCAACCCAACCAGCTAGAGGTTTTCAGATTTTAAAATTCTGCTTTGTGTTGCTACCAAACCCAACCTTAAGTTTGTGACTTGAATACAAAATACTGAAATAAAATGACATGTTTTATTTAGGGTTGCAGATTTAATACTTTTCTTCTCTTTATACAGCCTAGGACCTTTGGTGAGTAAAGTGAAGGAGTATCAAGTGGAGACCATTGTAGATACCCTCTGTACAAACATGCTCTCAGACAAAGAACAGTTACGTGACATTTCAAGCATTGGTCTTAAAACTGTGATTGGAGAACTCCCCCCAGCTTCCAGTGGTAAGGCATTTTGTACTCAAGGATTTATCTATTTGTGTAATTTACTAATTCAAAAAGATACAAAAGCCTGGTCTTTTAATGAAGAGGATTCAGTTCATTTAGCCTTGGAACTAATTTCTGTTAGGGGAAAAATGTATGGCACAAATATCCTTTTAGTTTCTCCTTCTCTGTATTGCTAGATTTTACTTCACAAGTTTAAAAACTTTTTTTGTTTTACTTAAGGTTTGCATTAATGTGGAAAACAGACTATATGAACTTTGGTATAACAAGTTGAGTGTGAAAGCTTCTATTTTAATAATTGCCTGGTGGAACTTCTCTGGGCTATTGTAATAGCTAAATCTCATCTTGCTGTTTGATTGATAGTATGCTTTAAAATTGATTACAACTTGGGTATTTCTCTCTAACCATTTGATTTCTTGTCTCAATTTCTGGGAAGTGTTTTAGAAAGTACCTTGTGAATTACTGAAATGCTTACCTGCAGATTTAAATGAAGGCAGTCTTTCCTCCAAAAGATATATTAATGTTGAACAGCTCATCACTTAATGGCATTACTTTTTATTCAAGTGCTTTTCAGATATCATAGCATAGGAATGAGAATAGAGAAGTGATTAAAAAGGCTTTGGAAATGACATTTTTAGAGACTGAGGTCTCTTAAAAAAAAGAACTCTGATTTTAATATCCCTTTTGAAAGTTGACATGTAAATCTTGCTGTTATCAAGCGGTAGTGAGATGCATAAACTTTACATAAGCAACTAATTTTAAGTAAATTGCTTTTACAATTTAAAAAGCTTTTACACTTTTGTTTGCCTACACAAAACGAAAGATTTATGGGTAGAGGTAAAGCTCAAACAAAAATGCAGGAAAATCTTTCAATATCATTAACATTCCTAATATAAAAATAAACATGATATTTCTTTCTCTCAACTCAAACATAGATTGTTGCCTTTTTTCTTAGCCTTTGTGATCAGACATTTGACTGTCCAATTGTTATGTTTTAGTTATAGTCCTACTTAAGAATTAGCCATAATATATATAAACCAGAGTTAGCATAGGTTGGAATGGTATTCATTTCACACTGACATTCCCAAAGTGTGACTAAAAAAATTTCATGCATGTGAAGGTGAATGCTAACTGTGTTGTTACCATGACATGAGTTCCTTCTCATAATTACTTGAAACAACATTAGGCAGTTTGAGGAAGGGGGAACTATAGAGTTGTTGTAAAGACATTTCTTCTTGTATTTTAAAATACTTTGGTTCTACCTTTTTTTCCCCCTTTCTCAAATGTTTCAGCAGTATTTCAGATACTTACTACTTAAGAAGCTTCTTGTGCAAAATAATTTTATTTTGCTTTTTCATTATACAGCCATTCTTTAGAGATGGCTCTTCTTCTGTGCTTCTCCCTACCATATAGTTTATTTCTCCATTTTTACCCATAGGCCTTTCATTTATTGCTCTAGACTTGTCTTGGCCTTCACTTTCCATTGCTTGCCCTACCAAAAGCAGTGTCCTTTCTGTTATATATACCTTCTGGGACAAGAAGCTCTCCTCAGTATGTTTGTACATAAATAGTCTTTTAGCTCTAATGCAGAGCATACATGACATTAGCAAACAAACTGACTGTTCAGGCTTGTTTTGTTGTGTGGGAAAAGCTTCTTTATGCTGAGATTAGGTTGCTTTCTGTAGTCGCAAACATGATCTCCAGTGTTAAAACTTGATTTAAAATATTATGAAAATGCTGAGGTTTTGTTGTCCTTTCAGGTTCTGCTTTAGCAGCTAATGTTTGCAAAAAGATCACAGGGCGTCTCACTAGTGCTATAGCCAAGCAGGAAGATGTATCTGTTCAACTGGAGGCACTGGATATCATGGCTGATATGCTGAGCAGGTAAACATCCATCTTTTAATATGCTGGTGAATGGTGATAAATACTCCTTAAAGCTTGAACTTTAGTTTTCCAAATGTAAAATTAAATTAGTTGAAGTTATGTGAAATAATATGATAAGGTATTAAGTACAGGTGAAACTTAATTTAGAAAAAAGTGAATATATTGAAGATAATTGATTTATAGAACAATTCCTTTGTTATGTAATCTTCGGAGAACTGTAATTTTAAGCTTATTTTAATGTTTATTTTTATATTTATTTATTTATGTTTTAAACTAATTTCTTCTTTTAAAAAGTTCCTAAAGCTTAAATTTAAATAATTAATTGGGATCTTTGTGATGTTTGGGAAATATTTAAAGATTGTTGTACAGTATATGAACAAAGTTATCTAGATTCAATTGGTTTGAGTTTGTGTTTTGTCTGTTTTAAGGCAAGGAGGACTGCTTGTTAGCTTCCATCCTTCAATTCTGACCTGTCTGCTCCCCCAGCTGACCAGCCCAAGACTTGCTGTGAGGAAAAGAACCATCATTGCTCTTGGTCACCTGGTTATGAGTTGTGGCAATATGGTTTTTGTTGACCTCATTGAACATCTGTTGACAGAGCTGTCTAAAAATGATTCCATGTCAACAACTAGGACCTATATACAGTGTATTGCTGCTATCAGTAGGCAAGCAGGTCACAGAATAGGTAAGAAAAATTTATAAATTATCTTTTACTTTAAAGTTTTTAGGTGAGAGTAATTACCTAGCTAATTTTTTTTCTCTTACCAGGTGAATATCTTGAGAAAATAATTCCTTTGGTTGTAAAGTTTTGTAATGTAGATGATGATGAACTACGAGAGTATTGCATTCAAGCCTTTGAATCTTTTGTTAGGAGGTAAGTCATGGGTACCTATTTCAGACTTTCAGATCTGGTAGTGTGCCACTGAATTGTAAGCTATCAAGAGACAATCTTCTTCATAGAAAATATTTTTGTAAGCTTTAAGCTGGAACTGTTTCTATAACTCTACCTTGTAACTTAACTGTTAAACAAGGTGTTATGTCTGTACTTTAGAAACTTCCTACTTGTGCCATTGCTACTTGTGCAAACAGGAGGTGGGAAGTCTATTTGTGTCCAGTAATAGTGACAAAAAAATTGGTATCCAGAGGTGTATCTTAGTCCTTTTCAAACTTCCGATCTAGCAGATCCTGTTACGCAGTAGCACTGCCCTTTCTGACCTTCCTTTTGGAATTTCTGTAATTCAGATGGGTGCATTGATATTAGTTGTGTTGGCTAATGTCTCCAAAGTACAGTATGTGGCATGAAGTCGTTTAGGAATATTTTAGTTCTTCAAAGTAATTTGACATTGATTGTACTTTTTATTGTGCAGGTGTCCTAAAGAAGTTTATCCCCATGTATCTACTATTATAAACATTTGTCTTAAATATCTTACGTATGATCCTAATTACAATTATGATGATGAGGATGAAGATGAAAATGCTATGGATGCCGATGGTGGTGATGATGATGATCAAGGTATGTTCTCTTGTTGCTTTGGGGGAGAGGGTGAGCTTGTGATCCTGTACTTGTCTGAGAAAATTGGTATAGGTGGTACTACTACCAAGTACCAGCATTTGAGTGACTTGTATACTTTCATATTCATATTTTGTACCTCTTTTAAACATACCTTATGAACTTACCTCTTGGAATAAAAGTGTAGGATATTGTTGCTGGAGATCAGTGATTCCAAGGGTGAACACAAAATACAAGACAAATACTTTAAAAGACTTGAAAGGTGGAAAAAGGCAGAAGCGTGTAGCATGATATAACTAAAGTGAGAAGAACATCAGTTCGTGAGTTGAAAATACATATACAGCATGGGGAAGGCTTCTCACTACTTTCCACTGTATTGTTACCTAATACATAAAATCAGAATAGATTGAAAATTGCCTAGTATTTTTCTGTAGGATAAAAAAGTGTTTTAGACTGAAAGGCGTAATGTATTTGTTGTTAATACAGTGGCAAAGCATTGCCATATGTAAGCTTTATGAAAACTTGGACACACAAGTAATCTGAACTGAGGGCATAACATTCCCATTACTTAAGAAAAGAATGAGCTGCATAGTTGTTGCTTTTGCACCTGAGAAGTCTGTATTATTTATTTTTTTGTTGTTGTTATTTTTGGGGGCAGTGTATGGTTTATTTACTCCTAGAAAGAAGCAGACAGAATAGTTGGCTGAATCTCGATCAGCTAATGTTCATTGTTGCATTGTTGTTTATGTCACAAATAAAGAGGAATGTGGTTTAATAGTCAGGCTGTAAATATGATGGGAACCTCGTTGTCCTATTTGCAGTTTAATGCGTGTGTAAGACTAGCGTGAAAAAATTGGCATAGAATTACAACTTAGGCCATTTAGAAGGCTTTTTATGTATGACTTTTAACATACTTCTGAACGTATTTCTTCATGTGTCTTACTCAAAGAACCCAACTGTCTTCTTTTTTAATTGTTTAAAATAAAACTTGGTGCTTTGCTGGTCTAGACTTGAACTTACGCATAATTTATTTTTTAAGGGAGCGATGATGAATATAGTGATGATGATGACATGAGCTGGAAAGTGAGGCGTGCAGCTGCCAAATGTCTGGATGCTGTGGTTAGCACACGACATGAAATGCTCCCAGAATTCTACAAAACTGTATCTCCTGCTTTAATAGCCAGATTCAAAGAACGTGAAGAGAATGTTAAAGCAGATGTTTTTCATGCATATCTTTCTCTTTTAAAACAAACTCGACCTGTGCAAAGTTGGCTTTGTGATCCTGATGCGATGGAACAAGGAGAGACACCTTTGACAATGCTTCAGAGTCAGGTTATTTGTCAAGATTTTTGTTATCTTTGAGAAGACATACTGAAGTTGCACCCTGTTCATAAGGATAGTTCATTAAATGTGCCTTATCATGCTTTCATCACGTGCAGGTTACAGTTTATTCCTGTAGTATTAACATAGAGAGCAAGCCAGGTAAACTGACCCAAAACAGTGCAGCAGTCTTGGAAACTGAAATTACTGACTCATGCAAATGTCCTGATTTGATTTCAGTTGTTTACCATCACCTGTGAAAGTTGCATTACCAAAGCAAAATAGTTACTTTGTGCATTCTGTATGAAGACAATAAGCTCTAATGATTAAGATAAAACTTGATTTGCTACAACATATTTTATTTGCAGAATAAAAAGGATAATGCTGAAAAACTTTTTCTAAGTGAATTATTTGGGTGGCTTTTCAGTTGTTACTCTCTACAGCTTTATTAATGCAAATCACCTTTTAAAGTTAAATTACTGGTTTTTTTAAAGCAATTATTTTGACTTTATTCCCCAGTGTTTCTGTAACTTATCTAGTTCTGTGGAGAAATCAGAGGGGTTGGATGCACGTATTTCTTTATATGCCCCCCAGTAATCAATAACGGAAGAAATGTGAGCTATTGAATCAATTAACAGATGTGTGATGATTACAGGTCCCCAACATAGTTAAAGCCTTGCACAAACAGATGAAGGAGAAAAGTGTGAAGACTCGTCAGTGTTGCTTTAACATGCTGACTGAACTAGTAAATGTGTTACCTGGAGCCCTAACACAACATGTTCCTGTGCTTGTACCAGGTATGAGAAACATGTTATTAACTTAAATATTTATTAAATTGGATGTGAAGTTTTGAAACATCAAAATATTCTAGTCCTGATGGCTTTTTGCAAAAGCCTTGAAATGGGGCTTCAATTTAAAGAAAATGGCAAAATAACTGTATGAATCCATATAAATATTTTAGTGACATATTTCCATTAATCTTAAAAACAAGGGTTGTCTCCAAGATTGAGGTTTTTTCCCTACTGTATCAAAACAAAGTTAATTTTCTTCTTAATTGCAAGATCAAGCTGCCTTCTTTTTCATCTCAACAGAGCAAAACATTGTCCATATTTTAGCTTTTGAAACTTAAAATATTGAAGTAACGATGAAAAGTAAGGTTGGAAATGTTAAAGGTTCAGAATTTCTTTATAATTAAGAAAATACATCACAAACCATCAAATTGCCCATATCCTCTGGTAGAGGAAGCTTAAAAACTAGTTGATTGAATTAAAGCACTGAAAGGGGCTTGGAAGCATTCAAGGAAGGTTGGGAGCTAGAAAACATAAATTCAGTATAGCTGCCTGCCTTTGGAAATTTTGAAGTGTTTTAGCAGACTATAAATTATCTACCCTAAAAATACATTTTTTGTTTTTCTTCCAGGAATAATTTTTTCACTGAATGACAAATCAAGTTCATCTAATCTGAAGATAGATGCTTTATCCTGTTTGTATGTGATCCTCTGCAATCATTCTCCCCAAGTCTTTCATCCTCATGTTCAAGCATTGGTACCTCCGGTTGTAGCTTGCGTTGGAGACCCGTTTTACAAGATAACATCAGAGGCACTTTTGGTTACCCAACAACTTGTGAAGGTTATTCGTCCATTAGATCAGCCTACTTCCTTTGATGCTACTCCTTACATCAAAGATTTGTTTACTTGTACAATCAAGAGATTAAAGGCTGCTGACATTGATCAGGAGGTCAAAGAAAGGGCAATATCTTGCATGGGTCAAATAATTTGTAGCCTTGGTGACAGCCTAGGCACAGACCTGCCTAGTACACTTCAGATCTTTCTAGAGAGACTGAAGAATGAGATCACTCGGTTAACTACAGTGAAGGCCATGACATTAATCGCTGGTTCTCCTTTGAAGATAGATTTGAGACCAATTCTTGGGGAAGGAGTTCCTATTCTTGCTTCTTTTTTGAGAAAGAACCAACGAGCTTTGAAACTGGGCACTCTTTCTGCTCTAGATATTTTAATTAAGAATTACAGTGACAGCTTGACAGCTGCCATGATTGATGCTGTCCTGGATGAGCTTCCACCTCTGATTAGTGAAAGTGATATGCACGTATCACAGATGGCCATCAGTTTTCTAACAACACTGGCTAAAGTATATCCTTCCTCCCTGTCAAAGATTAGTGGCTCCATTCTCAATGAACTTATTGGGCTGGTAAGATCACCTCTACTTCAGGGTGGAGCACTTAGTGCCATGCTAGAATTTTTCCAAGCTTTGGTTGTGACTGGTACAAATAGTTTAGGCTATATGGATTTACTGCGCATGTTAACGGGTCCAGTGTACTCACAGAGTACGGCACTTACTCATAAGCAGTCTTACTATTCCATTGCCAAATGTGTTGCTGCCCTTACTCGAGCCTGCCCTAAGGAAGGACCAGCTGTTGTAGGTCAGTTCATTCAAGATGTTAAGAACTCAAGGTCCACAGATTCCATTCGTCTTTTGGCTTTGCTTTCTCTTGGGGAAGTTGGGCATCACATTGACTTAAGTGGACAAATTGAGCTGAAGTCTGTGATATTAGAAGCATTCTCTTCTCCTAGTGAAGAGGTAAAATCGGCGGCATCTTATGCCTTAGGCAGCATTAGTGTTGGCAATCTTCCTGAGTATCTGCCATTTGTCCTACAAGAAATAACTAGTCAACCTAAGAGGCAATACCTTCTTCTTCATTCCCTGAAAGAAATAATTAGCTCTGCATCAGTGATTGGTCTCAAACCATATGTTGAGAACATCTGGGCCTTACTCCTGAAACACTGTGAATGTGCAGAAGAGGGCACAAGGAATGTTGTTGCTGAATGCTTGGGCAAGCTTACATTAATAGACCCAGAGACTCTGCTTCCGCGACTCAAGGGATACTTGGCATCAGGTGAGTAGTAGTAGTGCATGTACGTCTTGTGGCTTTAAGGCAAATGGCTTTGTGCTATCTATTAATAAATGGATCTGGTTTTGCAAATGATGTGCTTAAATTTTGTGGTAACTCTTGAAGTTTTGCTCCTCTCTACCCAACAATGGAATCTTAGGTGGTTCCATTTTTACTAGAAGTTGCTAGTCATACATAAAAAGAATTACTTCTGTGTTCTGCTTTCAACTATGGTAATTCAAAGGAGCATGAATGACAAAGGGACAAATTAAAAAGCCAGTTGCAACATGTTGACGTTTTGGTGTAAATTATTTGGTGTATTCCTATTTTTCAGATAAGGATTCTGAAATTTTTAAGGATTGGGATGGATCATTGTGCATAATTCATGAATCAGTTTTGTATCAAGAACTGTATTCACGTGTTTGCTTTACGTGCTTCTACTTTTAAGGAGAGAGGTGTTTTTTTCTAGGCTGACGTTTGATCAAACATAAACTGTTCTAACAGGCTTATTACTCAAATTTTCTGTAGCAGATAACATTACATGCTTATTGTGTCTTACAGTATTTTTCCCATGTTTGAAATGTTTTCTCCATAGATTTACTTGAGTTACATATTGCATTTCTAGTAATCAATAACCTTTCTTGTTTGGTGTTCTTAAGAGTATTAGAAGTCTAAAAAGAATGAATGGCACTGAGCATGATTTAGATTCTGTAGTTGTTCTGTTTTAATCTTGTGTATTCACACTTTTGTTTTGTATTAGGGTCCTCATACGCTCGAAGTTCAGTGGTTACTGCTGTTAAGTTCACTATTTCTGATCATCCACAACCCATAGACCCGCTCTTGAAGAACTGCATAGGTAAGTTCTTTACTTTTACTGACAGCTTTTTTGTTTCCAGGCAGTAGAATGACATTTAAAATTTGTTCTTTGTGTTATCAGAAGTAAGTATTTTGCAGATACTAGGATTAGCTGCTAATAATAACTGTTGGAAGAGTTCCAAGATGTTTCTGCAATAGCCAGTTATTTCTGTTAATACTAGTTTGTTTGAATTCTGAGCAGTAAAAAATGTTTGATTAAAAATTCTGTGTATTGAAGCTGTGATGAGCAATACAAAAAACTAGGACTTTTAGGAGAGGGAACCCAAGAACTGATTTCCTTTCTCATGTTTTTGACAAATCAGTTGGATGTAGTAAGGTGTACTATCTTTACCCAGAAGTGTGGTCTTGGAAGTATTTAACATTCAGTCACTTAAAATATGCATGCGTGAATTCAGAGTGTTACCAGGTTTTGAATTGTAAATATAGGTTGTTATGATTTTGTAATGCTTGTGATCTGAAAGCATTTGGAATTGTGAATATTTTTACAGGGATAAGGTAATCAGAGCTTTCAGTGTAACATGGGTATGATAAAGATCCTTGCAATGCTGTGGCTTTTTGAACTTTTTTCGTTTGTATTACGAAGATTTGTTTAATATGCTATGGTGAATGTTTTATACTTGAGTAATTACAGGTTTAAAGATAGGTAAAAAATTATCTATACTACTAAACCTAATGGGGAAAAAAGATTTAACTTCAAAAGCATAAAGTTTTGTGGGGAGCAAGGTTTCTATTTATGGGTGAATGAAGTCAATTCCTATGTGTTATATTAATCACTAAGCTTACTTTTTTTTTTTTTAATAATACATTCAAGAATTGCTTTAGGTATTTTCCCCTCCCACTGAAGCTGCCTTGCCCCTTTGGTTTCTGCAAATATTTATTGATTATTCAGTAAAAAAACTATTGTTATCTAGTACTTAAAAAATCTTAGTCATCTTGAGTTTTGTTACCCCAGTGTCTTTTGTGTGGATAGAAGTCACTTTGTTGGTTTTCTCATTTGAAAAATTTCACTCCTCACGGAGTTAGCTAGTAAAACTTCACAAACGTTGTGGGAAAAATAAGATATATTCATACAGCTATTTATTTTAACAAAGCTGTATTATAGAAGTATAGAAAATCTAATTTAAAAATACCTGAGGGTAGAGTTGGATGAGAAGGTGTTGCTATGTTAATATATACTGAGTAGCCTTATTTTATGGTAATTTAGGTATTCTCAGTATATGCCAATTTAGGGGTTAAAAATCAGAATCTCGATAGTTTCCTTGAGAGGTGTTCTCAATTTTGTGAACTGCAGAATTGATATTGGTTTTCTAATGCATATTCTGAGAGAATTTAATGAATAAAAGCAAAGGTTAAATATAATTTTCATTAATTTACATACTGTATCTTTAGAAAACAAGTTGAAATATCATTGTGATGGCCATTTATTTTGATGACCATATTGAAACTGCTGTTTTATTATACAAACTACTGTATATAATTAAATTAATACTTTTCATATGATTATGGTTTTATTTGTATAATCATGCTGAAATAGCAGGTGTCTGTTACATTAAAATGACTCCTGCACTAACTATGTCTTTTTGAAAGGTTAAAACTAAGCAAAGATATTTTTAAAGTTGCAGATTAAAAGGATTGTCATAGGTTATTTATTTCTGTATGATTGCAGGTGATTTTCTGAAAACATTGGAGGACCCAGATCTCAATGTCAGGAGAGTAGCTCTAGTGACGTTTAACTCAGCTGCCCACAATAAACCATCTTTGATAAGGGACCTCTTAGATACTGTGCTTCCTCATCTTTACAATGAAACAAAAGTCAGAAAGGAACTAATCAGAGAGGTATGTTAACTAAGAAAAACAGTGCTAAATATATGTAAGTAGATAGATTTTTTTTTTTTTAAAAAATGTGTTATTTAACTTTGGTGTTTCTGTTTGCTGACAGGTGGAAATGGGACCATTTAAGCATACAGTTGATGATGGCTTGGACATAAGGAAAGCGGCTTTCGAGTGCATGTATACTCTATTGGATAGCTGTTTGGATAGACTAGATATATTTGAATTCTTAAACCACGTTGAAGATGGCCTGAAGGATCACTATGATATTAAGGTTAGCTGTCATTTTTCTCTGTGAAAGCAGTGACTATGTCAAAATATTTTAAATGGTGAATAAACTGACATGGTAAAAATATTATTTCATATGCTTAAGTACTTCACTACGTTTGCCAGTTTCATTGAAGTGTGACTGTTTGAAAGGTTACACAGCATTGTAGGAAATATATCTCCATATATATGCTAGACATGACTAATAGTTGTATTGGGTTTTTTTCCTCAACCTAGATGCTAACCTTTTTAATGTTGGTGAGACTGTCTACCCTTTGTCCAAGTGCGGTGCTGCAGAGATTGGATAGGCTCGTGGAACCTTTGCGTGCTACATGTACAACTAAGGTACTTGAATTCATTTAAGTTAATTACTTTGTGTTGTCTTATAGAAATACAAATGAACTTGTGTTTAAAGAATACTTCAGTACTGCTGCAGCATTTTCTGAGTTATGATTGATAAGCTGGAGTAGACAGGATAATATAAATAAGTGTGCCTTTATACATGTGTTAAATTTATTTAAATTACAAATTGAGGGATAGCCTTGTTAGCTTCTTTTTAAAAATTCTCTGTTTCTTTACTGTCCTTTCTTTTGTTCCTTAAAAATTTAGCTGCCACTTGGGCAACATGTAAATCTCATGTTATTATAAATAGTGAAACTGGAAGACAGAGTTTTTCTGGCATCTGATGGTTACGTTGTTTCAGACAAGCATTTGGGTGATGAAGGCAGTGTAAAGTAGTCCTGGTTTCGTTGGGTTTTTATTGTTTATCCTGCCTCCTCATTTATATTACAAGATTATTGGATCTTGGCACAGTTAGTCTCCTTCCATTCCTGCTCATCTTGACCCACCTGTGTGCTGTGACAGTCATTTAATGCCATTTACCTTGCTTTTCCATTGTTGTAGTCTTCTGTATTTCACATCAAGAAAATTGACTGCCTTTAAAGATAATTTATGTTTGTATCACTGAAACATCTTTGAAAATGGGAACAGAAGGTTAAGCACTTACTCTAAGGTCAACTTTTTAATAAGTTCTATTCTCTGGAAGCTGGGAGTAGTGTGATAATAGCAGTTTAATGTCATTTACCGACCTTACTACGTAAAGGTTGGCTGCTGTAATTGCTTTGATTTGGTGATTGACTTGGTAGTTTACAGCCTTTTTCTACTTACCTTGCAGTATTGAAGCTTCAGTCTATTTGTAAACAGTTCTGCTAGAAAGATGTTTAGGGGTATTTTTTGTTTGGTTGGTTTTTTTTAAGAGCTTAGGTCATTTTGAAAGCTGTGCAAAGTGGTAGTATGGAAGGAAATAGGTTTCTGAAACATACATTTTTTTAAGGTGGGTATAGGTGGAAGTTTAGTAAAGTTTCAAACATATTTTCATTTTTTCCCTAGGTAAAGGCAAACTCGGTGAAACAGGAGTTTGAAAAGCAAGATGAACTAAAACGATCTGCTATGAGGGCTGTAGCAGCGCTTCTAACCATTCCAGAAGCAGAGAAGAGTCCATTAATGAGTGAATTTCAGTCACAGATAAGCTCTAACCCTGAGTTGGCAGCCATCTTTGAAAGTATCCAAAAAGATTCATCATCCACTAACTTGGAATCAATGGACACTAGTTAGATGTTTGTCCAAAATGGGGACCATTATGTTGAACCATATGATGCACTGAATTGACAGATTATGAGTAAGAAACAGAAAAAGCATATAATTACACATTGTTCCACTTTATTTACCTTTATGGAGACAGTTGGCTTTTCCCATAATTGCTTTTCTAGCATTATTCCAGAATTGTATTTCCATAATCCAGAATTTGTTAACCACTCTGTTTTAGTGGATTTGACCACATTTGGGAATTAAAAAGTTGACGCATGGTGTATGGAAATAGGTTCCAACATCCATTTGCCCTGTAATGTTTAGGATTAAAATGTCAAAATTTTGTGACCATGATTTTTTTTCTTTTGTTCACTCTTTCTACTTGTAAACAAAAAAGGGGGGGAGGTGGGAATCAAGTGTCCAGGTGCACCATGTTTTTTGTATAACTTTTTATTCTTTTTTGTTTCAGCTTCATAAATTGGTTTGGCTGACAGATGAATTATGTGTAAGATTTATTATATTAAAAAGATGGTTTGGGCACAGTTCAAAAAAATCAGACACTAATGTCATTTTTACAGATGTGGGGATTAGAAAACCAATATCCCTGTTGTGCACACTAATTTTGCATGAGCAAGTTTACAAATATATATTGTCTGTAAAACAGCATGTGCAGTTTATTCGTAATGCAAGTTAAAATAAGTTCTACTGTATCAGTGCAGTTTTCAGGTATTTTGACGTACAGGCCATTCATACCGGAAGGGATGAATTAAGGTTTGTTATCTTAACCTGGCTTTTTTAAATGCCAGTAGCATGACCCTGCAGATATTCTTACAGTAAACATGATGATTTCTGCAGTTTTCATGGGTTTTCATTCCCAAAGACTGGATCCACTGGAATTGAGGTGGACAAACTGTAAGATTGGAGGGAAATAGGATGAGGTGGAGGTAAAATGAGCAGAGAAAACAATAGCTGCTCAGTGGCTCCTGAACTCTGGATTCAACTTTGCTTTTGTTATAAAAGAATGAAGGAAGTTTCTGTACTGGATCCTATCTCCTGTTCTTTATCCAACAGCTTTTGTTAAGGCACTAGTATATGGTGCTACCTAGACAAGTATCGCCAGACCATCATTTAGTTCCTGTTGGAATGTTTTCTGGCACATGGGACCACCAGTGGGTTGCAATGCTGCAAGTGTCATACAGTATTCTGGTGAGACAGGAAGCAGAGAATGGTCAAAAGACTGGAGAGAGATAAAAAGCCAACAGAAGAAAAAGTTCTTCTGTGAATATGCTGAGGTAATTTAGAAGCGGACCAGAAGTGGATAACTGGCAGTCCTGCAATGAACTAGAATTGGGAATTCAATAACAAAAAAAGAGGGGAGCCACTGCCTCAAATTGAGACTTACCATTACTTGTTAAATGCAACTACTTAGTTGTTTTGGTTTCTTTCCCTCTAAATCGGATCTGAATTTGATTTTTCTTAACTGGTATTTTTTAGCTAGCTTGATATTTTGGAAACCTGTTATGTGGGTATGTGGCATAAGCTGCTACATGACTAAATAAGCATACATTCTTATGACCTCAGAGACAGTTTCCTGTGAGCATTGGGGCTTGGGGGCAAAATCTTCACCTTACGTGCTTGCAGCTTGGGAAAAGCAGAGGAGATATTGGTACATTTTACCTTAATAGAAGGACCTGAACAAAGAAGTCTGTGAACTCATTGAATAGTAACAATTCTAATGCTGTAGAAATTTTTGAAAATGTAGCTTTCTCTGTCTCCAAAGTCTTCATACTAATGTAACAATTGTCTTCTAGAAGTAGTAATAAATGAGATTAAACGTACCAACATATCTAAATGTCATGAAAAGGAGTGGGATGCCTAGACAGAAGCCATATGGTAGAAAAAGCACTGTGAATTAGGTGCATTTTATCTTACTGTATAATTCATCTACTTCAATTACAGCAATACACAGGCCTTCTAATTAAAAATCCATTGTGCTAATTAGTTGTCAACTAATCTTAGAACTTTTTATGTTAAGTTTTCAGAGTACATTAAAATGTTTTATAGACCTAAATCTAGATGTGAGAATGGTATGATAAACGTGAAATGTGAGGCTAAAATAGGAGAATGGAGTAGGTGACAATGGTAAGTGAACAGAATATTCGTAGCTGAGAGATTTGTGTGTGCGTTACTACCATAACATAACACAACACTTAATGTGGTGGATGCAAATCATCTTCACTTTGTTTTACAGTATGTTGCAGTGAAGCAAGCTTAAGGACAGAAGAGAAGGTTGAGCTATATTACATAGTGAATGCTTTCTTGCAAAAGAGTAATTTTCACTTTGACCACTGATGAAGAATGTGGGAACATAAGGATTAAGTCTTCCCTGTAAATTGCAGAAATTCCAACAGTGTGATTGTCTCCAAGTAGCAGTTGGTTATTTTGGTGATTCAGGAAGACAGACTCATAAAAGTTGTAATTGCATCATAATTACTGAATTTTTTTATTAGCGTAACAAAATGTAACCATGTTAGGTGTTGAATTCTGATGACTTTCATTGGATCACTTGATTGAAAAGTTTCTTTGGTTTTCCCCACTGTATGCTCAAGTATTTGTATAAATCTGGTGTATTTATGCTTTTAGAGCAATTAGGTTCAGGTAATTCTATTAAGGATGATGTCAGGAATATATGCAGCTGTTCTTTAAATGCTAAATATTTGAAACTGAAATACTACATTTCTCTAACTAAAACAAAACCAGAATTCTGAAAGGCTGCTCTTAAGATGTTTGGTATGATTAGAACTTTCTCTAGTATTTTTCATCGCTTTGCACATAGACAATTGAGACCAATTAATAAGGTTGCACATAACATAGAAATGGTTGGCCAGTCCTTGCATTGCAGATTCTAGGCTTTAAATATTTTTGTATCTCAAAACTTGCCATCCTTACAAGGGAGTTTTTTTTTCTAAAATTATAAATTGAAAACTACCAGTACTTCAAGAACGCTGCATTTCAAACATGTAAATTTATTTTTTATATGATTTTCCTTCAAAATATTGCATCTAATATAGCAGTCGACAAAATAAAAAGAGCTGAACTGCTTCCAGTTGTATTTTTGTGAGGTGAACAAAGCAGTACATATGCACGTAAGCAGCATTGCTTTTCTCAGGTGAAGGATTATTTTCACATTCCATCAACTCAAATTAAAAATATGAATTAAAAGTCCATATCTGCTCCTATTGTATTTACCTTAACAGATATTCTCAGTAATGAGGATAGGAACAAGTTCACCCTGATCTGGCAGACTGCTCAGTAGTAGGGATTTAGCAACTGTTCTCATATTTACTGGTACTTCCCCTTCCTCGCCTCTACTTTAGGTGACTTTAAAAGCAAAGTACATGTGACCTTGGAAGTGTGTGTGTGTGTGTGTGTGTTGTTTTTGTTTTGTGAATCCTCATAATTCTGACTGAAATGACACCTGTTTCTGCCAAATACCAAACAGTTAAGCCTGCAGCCTCTGGGTTTTATTTCCCTATTGCTCTAAACTTCAGATAAAGTGTACTTTTGTTGTGGTTGCTGTTCTTAAAATTAATTTTGGAGAAATGAAAAATACTAGTCAGTTTATTACTTTTTTTTTTTCCCTTGTTTCCTTCTTGTTGTGAGGTGGGAAGATTTGCTTGGTGTACTATTGAACATGAGGAGGCGGAGATTCTTGCAGCAGGCTTTGCTCCCTGCCCTGGAAGAGCTCTTCGGTATAGAGTTATAGCTCTTGCACTAAAACCGACCTTTTTGCATCCGTATCCATTTATAATTTTTCATTGTGTCTGAGTTCAGGGAAGGAGAAGGAAATCGGAATTCTTGAGAATAATGAAGTAAATTAATCTTCCACAGCCAGTGCTGGTGAAGCAGGGAAGCTTTCTGCAAATGGGGCTTTTGTGAGAATTAGGCAATTTTGTCTTGGTAGGGAGTTAGACTTCTTTAGATTTGTTTCCACTCCATGAGGCTTTAATATTTCCACATAACCTTTGATGAGGAGAAAACTTCATTCAGAAAGGTCATCAATCCCCCAAAACAAACAAAGAGTTTCAGCTGATGTTCATCTGTGTGTTGTGGTTTAGGACATAACCCTGAACCACAGAAGAAATAAGAGCTTTCTGAGAACAACACAAACACCATCTGGAAGACAGATGTTACCTAAAATATAGTGCTGAGAAAGAGAAAATGGAATCTTACAGCGAGAATATTTTAATTTAAAATAATTCTCTTTGTATTCTGTCTTTGATCATATTTTTGAAGAATGGGAAATACAGAAGGAAAAGAAAAAAGTAATTGGCAAGTGGTGACCTGTGATCCCGGAACTTAAGGGGTAATTTCTATTCCCTGCTGCCTCTTTAAGAAAAAGGATGTATTTTGATAAAAGCACATAGTAATTCTGAAAATACTTCTATTCTGAAGTAGTTAAAATTGTTTTTTATTATGTTGTCACTATTTTTTTTTTATTATGAAAAAATTATTTCTCTTCTTATGTGGATTTCTCTGACCTGACAGTTATGAGTCAGTTTAATACACCTGCTAAAACCTTTAGGAAATAAGCTGTGTCACTTGATTCAGTGCAGTAAAGATGTTCCTGTAGCAGATGTTTGGAAGTCACTCTTTCCCACCATTCTTTTAATAGATTAAAAATACCTGGTCCTATATGACTTTTTACATGTAGTTTCCATTCAACCTCCAGCCTTTTTTCTGTTTGACTGGACAAGTATTGGACTCCTGATCATCTGACTACTGTTACTTTAGATAACCCCCTTTCTGGAGATTCTTGATGTTGTAATCTCAAGTCTTCTAAAAGACTTTTTTCTTCAGTCCTTACTAAGGTTATTTGCTGGAAGGTTCAGTTTTGTCTCCCGACATTTCCATTGTGCAAGACAGTTCTTTCATTAATTCTATGTAGAATTAATTTTACAGAGGGATTTCATGCAGAGATGCCATGCTTACATGCAACTGAATGCTATTTTTGAGGAAGTTTGTAGTTCAAGCACTCCTCTCTGCAGTGAAAATACGTAACATATCTAAGGAGAAAATAGAACAATGTGTCACATGCACAGAATTCCATGGAATGTGGCTTCATGTACATTTTTCTCTTGCCCCTCGATTTCTTAATGCTCACAACTGCATCAAATGATCTAAAGGTCTAGACCAGCTTGCCAGTAAGGTGTTTCAAGTAGTAACAGTTGAGTTCTGCCTACTGATGGAATGTATGGGAAGAGCTACTTTGATTCTTTTCCCTCCACAGCTACTGATCTTCATGCAGATGGCAACTTTGAAATGTCAGCCACATGTGACAGAAGGGTAAAAATTGACCAATGTTTTAAAAAAAGAAATTGGATTTCCTGTCATCAATTCCTTTTCAAACAACTTTACCGTATTTTTTTTCCAATACAAAGATGATCAAATGAGTATTAGGAGGACACTATATCAAAGTGACTGAGTTCTTATTTTTCCTAACACCGTAGGTTGAAAACTCATGACTCTGGTTTGAATAGTGACTTGTTTACA